TGGTGGGAATGCAGACTGGTGCAGCCACTATGGAAAACAGTATGGGGTTTCCTCAAAAAACTAAAAATGGAACTCCCATTTGACCCAGTGATCCCACTTCTAGGAATATATCCCAAGAAAACAGAAACACCAATCAGAAAGGATATATGCACCCCTATGTTCATAGCAGCACAATTCCCCATAGCTAAGATTTGGAAACAGCCTAAATGCCCATCAACAGATGAATGGATTAGAAAACTGTGGTACATCTACACAATGGAATACTACGCTGCTGTAAAAAGGAAGGAATTCTTACCATTTACAACAGCATGGATGGAACTGGAGAGCATTATGCTAAGTGAAATAAGTCAGTCAATGAAAGAAAAATACCACATGATCTCACTCATTTATGGATAATAAAGAACATTATAAACTGATGAACAAAAATAGATACAGAGGCAGAACAGCATTGAACAGACTGTCAAACTACAGCCGGAAGGCTGGGGAGGGTTGGGGCAGGAGGTAAGAGATCAACCGAAGGACTTGCATGCATGTATATAAGCATAACCAATGGACACAAGACACTGGGGGTAGGGGAGGCCAGGGGAAGGTCAAGGGGGAAAAAAGGAGACATATGTACTACTCTGTAATACTTTAAGCAATAAAAATATAAATTAATTAAATTAAATAAAAAATAGATGTTAAAAAGTCCAACTAAATTCTGAATTTCCTCAGAAGTATCTTAGTGTCTTTAGAAACAGCAAATTCTTCTAAAACAATGTTGGTGTCCCACTGCCCTAAACAGGCACAGGCTTGCTCTGTCCCTGGGGTCCCCCGTCACAGACGGGGTGGGAGTTCACCTCTCCTACTTATCTTATATAATTCTGTATTATCAGAGTAGAAACTAATGAGCATGCATTGACTTTTAAAATTTTTAAAGTGATATAATAGAAATAGGCAAAGGAGCACAGGGAACCCTGGGCTCTGTAAGTGTGCGTCTGCCTCTGGTTGGTGGTTACATGGATCTGTGAGGGCACAACTGCATTGAGCTGCTGCTTGAGCTCTGTGTGCGTCAGGTAGTTCACATCCATTAAACACCATCCGTTAATCCTGTCACAGGGTTAAAACTGATGGCTCTGAAGGCAGATATTAGAGTTGAAGAGTTACCTGCACCAACACAAAGAACCTTTTCTTCCATCTCTTCCAGACATTCTTGCCGATGGCCCATAAATACCTAAGGGAAAGGGAAAAGACACAGTTGCATTAATGCTTGTGTGAGTGCATTGTTCAAGTTGTCCTTAAACCAGCGGTCGCCAACCTCTCAGACCTCATGGACCACTAACACACTTGACTGTGAGGCTTGGTGCTCATAACCGAAGACATGCACACGGTCCAGAAAGAGAAAGCAGAGTCGAGCTGAGCAAGAAACAGCAGCCAAGTCACTTCCCATCCTCAGACTGACGGCTCCAGGAGGCACCCTGAGAAAGTTACATTGTGACTTAATTTGTGCACGCACTAGAAGTCTTTTAGGTCGGGAAACTCCTAAAAGGTGTGGTGCAAAGAGAAAAAAATTCGTGCTAAATCTCACAACTACCAATTCTTTCACCTCTTACCAAGTTGCATTCAGGAAAACCTTCCCTCAGGTTCTTTTTTTTTTTTCCTGCCAAAGGCAGGTGTATGCGTTACAGGGAAGAATTTGGAAGAAGTCTCAAGTCGACAGAGAAAGTCCTCCTTGGACTCCTCCCTTTTCCCCAAATGCTCTTCTGTTGGTGGAAATTCATCTTTATACAGAAACATGAAATAAAAAGGAGGGTTAAGGACCACGGAGGCAAGGGCAAAGCCGTCCGGAGATTTTAAGACCAGTGTTGCTAGTTCACTCAGGAATTACCCTGTGGATTGCTACACGTTGAACTGGCACTGATCCAGGAAGGAAGGCTGGTGGTTTTCAGACTCTGCTAGGCCAGGTGAGGAGAGAGCTGGTCAAACCCCAACACTTCCAAACACCCCAGCGCAGGACTGGCTTCACCTGCTGTCAGAACCAACGGGTCAACTTCCAAACCCTCACTTCACCAAGAACCAGACAGCATTTCCGCTTGGAGCAGAGAGAACAATGCACCTAATTACAACGGATGCTGATTGACAAGTTTCAGGGGCCCTGGGAGTGGCTGGTGGCCCAAATCTACTCAGACCTTCAAGCCAGAACCTGGAAGTCTCCTGGCGCCTCTGTTCCCTCCTCCTTGCTCCTCAGTCGCCAAGTGCAGCTGATTCACCTGCTGCAAAGTTCCTCCTCTGCTCAGTCCTCCCCTCCCACCTCCACCACGTCAGCCTGGGCCACAGGTCCGCGCCCAGGGACAGTGCAGGGGACAGTGATTTCCTCCTCCTGGTCCTGGGACAGGGCCACCGTCTGCAGTGCTCTCACGCCTCCCCCGCTGAAACTCCAGTGGCTCTCCCCATTTACATGACGGGAGCCCCAAACTCTGGCTGCTCACATTCTATCATGACTTATCCCATATCTGCCCACCATTTATCCTATGATTCACTTGAAAGTTTAAGTTGACTTGTTTAACATGAATACATTTATTTTGAAAGAAAACTTTACATTATAGCCTTGATACACCAATGATATGTTATGCGGCACACATTAAAATGCATGAGGACCTATTTAACTAATACATGCGTGTCTGTGCATCAGGAAGTGACCTTGTGTGCCCTTAGTGGTGTGAATACCCTCGGGGAAGCCTTCGCCTCTGAAGGCAACATGCAGTGTCCTGACCGGCCTGGTAGCGCTTCCTTTTCTGGCCCCGGTGAACTCTCCAGGCTCCTCTGGTGCCTGGTATTGTCTGTAATTCCTGGCCTCGTGCTAAATCTCACCTCCATCCGTGACTTTGCATAGTTACGCTGCCTGAGAGCCTTCTCCCCGCTCCTGAGGTTAGAACTCACATCTTCCTGGTCTCCGTCCTTACTTGATGTCACCGCCTCAGGGCCACGTAAGTCAATTCTGTGCCGGCAGCAGTAACGTACTAGTACAGTACTGGCTTTTATACTCACACACCAACTGGACTGTGAGCTCCTGGAGGGAAGGAACCTGGTCCTTTCTTTCTAAGTTTCTGGCACAGAAACCTCTCCTTTTCAATTTCCTAGTGCAGTTCCTGACAGACCTGCCCCTTGAACTGTGCGGGTCCGCCAATACACAGATTTTTTTTCAGTAAATACAGTCTGCCTGTTGTATCTGAGGGTTTCACATTTGCAGATTCAGTCAACAGTGGGTCAAAAACAGAATTTTGCATTCCCAACCGCGGTTTCCCACCCTCGGATTCTGGCGGACTTCAACCCTGGATGAATCTGCGGATGTGACGGGCCTGTGTGGGGGTTCGGTGTCTCTAACTGCAGAACAGTTGAGGGGTCAACTGCGTATGGCAGGTGGTCAGTAAGTATTTGCAATATTTTAATTGGTTTTGAACGCCATGTTCTTGGGAAACCAGAGCAGCCTTTATAATGATTTCTGATGAGATTTAAAATCATCACATAAAGACGTGCAATGCATCACCAAGTCTTTCGAGTTCTCCTTCCAAAGTATATCCCGCCTATTTCTACCTCCGCTGCTACTCCCCAACTATGTCACCTCCACCTGGGCCATGGCAATAGGCTCCTCCCTGGTCTCCCCTCTTTCGCTCTTGCCCCAAACTCCATTCACTTCACAGTGACATTTTAACTCGGGAAATTGTATCAGTAACACACTCATCCTAAATAAGGATGGAAAACTAGGGAGGGTTTTAGGCAGGGGAGTGACAAGGTTATATTTCTACTTAAGATGATCCCAGTGGCCGTGGTGGCGAATGTGCTGTTGATGCCAGGGGCAAGAGAAGCAGGGAGCCAGCGAGGAGAGGGTGACCGTGTGCAGATGAGAGGGGGTGGGCCGGACCCAGGCTGAGGCTGTGGGGACGGTTGGATGGCTGTTCGTCACCCTGCAGTCAACTCGGTCAGCTCTGTTATTATGTGGAGCACACTGCTGTCCTGGACAGAGCTCTCAGCCTTCTTGAGGTAATATCTATATATATAAAAGCCTAATATGCAAATTGTCCCTGTGGGAGTTTGACCAGGAGACTGATCACTCACTATGATGTGCGCTGACCACCAGGGGTAGGCGTGTAACAAAGGAAGTCCCCAGTAGGCAGCCGGCAGCTGGTGAAGGGAGGCCCCAGTCAGCAGCTGGAAGGCCCCGATTGGCCCTGATCGCTGGCCAGGCCTAGGGACCTTACCCGTGCTTGAATTCCATGCACCAGGCCTCTAGTATTATCATAGTCATGCAAAAATGGAGGCTGGGCCAGGGACAGGGACAGAGAGGGTTATTATCTGTGCTGGTGAGGAGCCTTCCAGCGCTAGTTCTGCCAGTTCCCTTAGATGCTGGGCAAGCTGCTTAACCTCCCGGTGTTCTCCACACAGGGCCAGGGGTGTGTTGTGTGGGGGCAGATTAAGCAGGTGATGCTTGAGAAGTATAAGCATGAGGCATGGCAGGAAGTAGATGCCCAATAAAAGCTGCCTTATGATAAAACCAGAGGCCTGGTGCACTGGGGGGTCCCTCAGCCCGGCCTGAGCCCTTTCACAGTCCGGGACCCCTCGGGGGGTGTCCGGCAGGCAGATATCCGCGAAGGGGTCCTTAGCACTGCTGTGGAGGCAGAAGAGGCTCCAGACACTGCCGCTGCTGTGCTCACCAGCCATGAGCCTGGCTTCTGGCTGAGCGGCGCCCCGCTGTGGGAGCACCACTCTGTGTTGAACGTCTGCCCCCTGGTGGTCAGTGTGCATCATAGCAGCCCGTCATTCTGCTGTTGGTCGATTTGCATATTAGAGCTTTATGATATAGGATATCTCCCTGTACAGAGGAAAGCATAGCATTACTTGTAGTAAACAATAGCTAGATGTGTGAAAGGAGATCTCCTTGGGCATATGTACATAGATGAAATAAAAGATCAAATAAAGAAAGTGCATGAAGAATTTTATATTTTTAGTAACAACTGCCAGGTTGTAACAGTCTCATAATTTCTGAAATTATACTGGCAGCTACTACTCATTTTCTCTTCCCCCCTTAACTTAAATCCACATAAAGAGATTAGAAACGATGAATGCCGCTGCTACATCTAAAGCGTTTATACTTTTAGTTGATGAGAATGGAAGTAGGAAAACGAGTTCTCTGGTTCCCATAGAATGTAACTCACATGGAATCACTAACTTTTCTTCAAAATAAAAACACTAGGCACTGCTGAGAGAAGTTGTGCTCGCCTTCTGAACTATGCCAAGCACTTTGCAGGAATTCATTGCACCCACACGGAGGGGTTAAGAGCTTGACTGCGGAGCCAGGCTGCCTAGGTTTGTGTGTGACCTTGGGCAAGTCACTAGACTTATCTCTGCCTTAGTTTTCTCACCTGTACAATGGGGATAATAACAGCGGTACCTACTTCAAAGGCTGTCATGAGGATTAAAGTAGCTAGTGAGAGATAAAGTGCTTAGAACAATAACTGGCACAACACAGACATTTATTATTTGCTATTAATCCTACTTTTCAGTTTAAGAAACTGATGTTCAGAAAGTTCAAGCACCTTCCCTAGGGCCCCAGCGGTGAATGGCAGCAGCAGAATTTAATCTAGAACCGGAACAGCCTGGCTCTAGGGCACCCTCTTCCCTACCATCTCCTCCTGGTCTAGAGGACAAGCTTGGTTTCTTTCTTGAAACAAGACCAGGAATAGTTATTTCAGCTGGACACACAGAGAGAGGACTTCTGGTGAACGGCTCCGGGTGGGCGAGCCGAGTGGGTCAGAGAAGACGCAGCAGCCCTCCCGTGGAAAGTGGCGGGTGATCTGTGTGGAGGGGGCTTCCCCTCGGAGGTTTCCTCAGAATCCATTGCTGATGTGGCACCTGCCTGAAGGTGTCAAAACGGAGAAAACTGAGGGCTGCCACGTCCTGCTTCTGGCTAGTGGGCTCCTGCGCTGTGTTCTCTCAGGGTGAGGCGTGCTCATAAACAGAAGGGGAAGCACCGGGGGCAGATGCAGCCTGTCATTGCAGACGCACAGGTGCCCCCCGCCCTCACCCTACGGACAGCTGTCTGTGCGGGCATTGGTGGCCCCCGGCTCTCTCTCCAGGCCGCCTGGATATGTGGAAAGCTGGGTTTATGAACAGATAAACGAGCACCGTGGTGCCGTGAGCCGAAGTCTGGCCTGGTGGGTATATCTCAGACTCAGA